TATATATACACACATATATACACATACACATATACACATACACACACATATACATATATACACACACATTAGATAGGATAGATAGGATAGATATACACACATAAATCAAGATATCAAGCATTAGTATAAAGCTAATTATAAACATTTAAACTATACTATTGTTGAGATAATGTTTAGCAAACCTTATTGCAACATTACTATTGAGACAGTCCATCCTCAAACTGAAGAAAGTAGACCACTATGTCAGAGTATCTGCCATCTATAATCATACTATATACTATAAAGATCAAAAGTTGTGTACATCCATCCCATTACACCTATATGAGCTTGTTGGACATCCTATTCCAAAACCATTGGCATTATTATGGAATTGCTATACTGGCATGCACTCTTTTGGGTAGGTTTTTCACATTATTTGTATTATTTGTGTGTGTCTGTGTGAATTTTTGCCCATATTTGTAGGCCATGCTTCCTGTATAGTATTGCTAATCATTAATTGGGCATTACTGTTCATTTGTTGATGCAATTCTATTAGCAAGCTCAGAATAATTTAAAATGGCATCCTCAGGGCTGCCAACATTCACTCATATACAGATAACAAATAAATACAAGATAGAGTTCACAAATATAGATGCAATAATGAAAATATGTAACGGCAAGCATGGTAACAGGTTAAAGCCATATCAGATGTTATCAGGTATGCATTGCATTTTTTGATGCAAGATAGCAACATACAATAGATTAATGCTTTGCCCCTAAACCTCATAGGGCATGTTATGCTTTTTTTTCTGTTCTTATGCTTTTTTTCTGTTCTCCCAACAGACAAGTTATTTGACTACAGTGGATTTTCTTTAATCTTTGCCCTTATCTTTCTTTGTCCTGTGGCTGGCCAGCCAGGTTAATTTTTCCTGGTCTGATGTCTCTGCTGCTTTACCTTTAAAGGCGTAATCTGGTTTAGAATCTCGTTCTCATTAAGCTCCTGTAGTCCACCCTCCATCTTTCTGGCCCAGTATACATTCCATTGCAGCTCAGTCCGCTCCTTCTCCCTACCCATGTCCTCCTGTGATGGGGCTACCTTTTCCAAGATGGCAGTTGTTGCTGCACCATCCTAGTGCACCGATGTTGTAGCAACAGCCGGCATCTCTTGTGATGGGGCTATTGTCCATCTCAGGGGGTCGCTTTGGTTTACTGTTACAAGACATCCCTGGCACCAAAGGCAAATCTATAAAAGACCATGTGGCAACAGATCCAAAGATTTCCAGTTTGAGAGGAACCCAATCATCCTTCTTTAAGATGGCTCCAAGAGGCCAAAAAAAATGTGATGGTGCACTGTCCATTCCTGTATGGTGGGTGCATGCCTTCAAGCCTTTGCCTAGATGTGGACAAATACTATTCTTGGGTGATTCACAGTATATAGTGACAAAGGCTCATCCTCCACTGAACCATTTAGTCTAAACAACTCTACCTGCCAGGCAAGAAAAATCTCTGCTGTTCATCCTATACATTCAAATGTTACTTTAAAAGTGGGCTATTAGCCCAGGTCCACAAGTTCCTTAAACTCCACCTTCTTTGTTAGTGAAATAAAAAGCAGATGAACACAGACCAGTTCTGGATCTGAAATCACTGAACAATCTAATTCAGGTTCTATTCTTCCAAATAGAGTCTCTCATCTGACCCAGAGTGCCAAAGTTCCTGCTATTCTGGGGTACCACTCCCAGTTTGTAATATCTTCTATTTGAAATACTGTCAGCCCAGAGAATCTTTACAAAATTGTTATTGCCTGTCATTGTACACATCAGAATAAAGGGCCTTAGACCAAATCATTAGCATCTTACTCCCGGCCATGGACCGCAACATACTAGTAAAACATCAGAAAATGTTTTTCGGCATGCTTCAGGAGTTGGGGCTTATTCTAACCTAATCCAGTGCGTTCCAGCATGGTTAGTTGCTGAAACGCACTGGATCTCATAATTACAGCCTCCTTGCGTTTCCCTGGGTGGGAGGGGGGTGTGGTGGTGCACTGCGAGGCTGGAGGTGTGGCTGCAGTGCCATTGTCTTGAATTCACCACTACACCCCCTACCGCCTCAGAACGCAGGGAGGCTGTAATTTTGCAATCCAGTGTGTTACAGCAACGGACCATGCTGGATTGCACTGGATTAGGTGTGAACAAGCCCTGTGGCTGGTAATCAACAAAAGCAACTCTGCTTTTGCATCCCAACCTAGCAATGAATCTTTCTGGGAGCACTACTGGTCATGGCTAACAAGTCTGTACAATTACCGCCGGAAAAGGATTTATTTAGTTCAGAGCAAGGTCCAGACTGTAATGTCTTCAGAATTCATGTGGTCATCCAAGTTCCCAAGGAAAGCTTTCCTCCGCCATACCTCTGGTCAGGTTGGCTCACCGGTGAATGTTGAAGTTTCAGGTAGGATTCCTTGTGCAATGGAACAAGAAAGGGAGCTGAACCCATGCATGACTTGGTTCCAGGTAAATGTATGGAATGGAACAGAAATGTATGTTTTGGAAATACAAAGCAAACTGGTGGATCTCCTCAGTCACTCCTGGGTGGACCGTAATCAATGGGCCTTTAACCACAAAGATATATGAGAAGATTACAGAGTGCTGAGGAACACCAGAGTTAGACCTCCTAGCTACTCCAGAGAACATGAGATTCTGGGCTTTCCCACCTTGGTACAACTTCCTGGAGGCACAGGGAGTTAATACCCTGACCTAACCCTGGGACTTCTCCATAGGATACGCCTTTTCTTCACAGCCTCGTCTCAAAATTCATTTAAGTTCTGGGAATCATGATATCAATAATCGTGCATTCACTGCAGAACCTGTGGGTCTATAACCACAAGTGAAACTTCTTCCAAGACAGGACCTTCTAACCCAGGGATGCGTTCTGCATCCATGCTGAAAATAGCACATTTTCTTCTGACTATTTTAAATAAATGGTGTACTAGCAGCACCCTACCTAGCAGTGTGATCATTAAATACCATCTTCTTGGCAGCAGACTTCCCTCCATGGCTTGGAGTATTACCAGAATGAGGGGTGATGGAGTTGGGGCAAACTTATAGATAAGGAGTGCAACATTAGCCTACTGTATGCACCAGGAATAGAAAATTATGGAGTATACAATTTTCCATTTTATATGCATTCAAAATACATCAGAGTATACTATTATATTCATTTTCAGGCTTAAACATTATTTATTTTTTTCTGAAGAGTTTAATACATTCATAAATTAACCAACAAAAATTTAAAATGCCTTAATACCTTTTTATATTTTTAGGGATCGTCAGTGGAAGTATATTATTTGCAGACTGACAGACTTTGACTGTGAATTTGAAAACTTCTAGAAGAATACCGAAACCAAAGCATCAGCACCTACTTGTTCAGCTGATTCTATAACATGTAAATCTGCTGTGTTTTGGATAGATTTACCAGGGCAGTTATGTATATAAGAGGGATTGTTACTTCAACTGCTAAATCCAAACTGTGATGACAAGAACACTGCAGGCTAAAATGGTACCCGCAAGATTTACTTCCATTTATATATTACATTGACATTCTCCACAGACCTTTACGCGAGGGCTGAGCAATTCATGAACGTTATTGCCTCTTATTCAAGCTTGCCATGCAATATCCTATTGACAGTCACATGCATACATAGTTTAGTTTATAAAAATATGCCTACCAGCTTGGTATATGGCATAAAATCTTTTAAATATAAAAACAAACACTATTGCATTATTAAAGAAGGCAAACATTTAGGTGTAAATACAGTATTCAATAGCAACCAACCAGCATATCCAATATGGCTGTATGCTATGTAGAAATAATAAAAATAATCTACTTTGAGAAATACTCAGAAAAAGAGATTCCATGCATTAAAATGTGTAGCCTGACAAAGAGATGAACTGCTGCAAAGGGTTTGGACACCTTGTATCTGCTGTCAAATAGCCAACTGGTAGAACCCATGGTGAACAATGCAGTGCTTTACTGCAGGCACTGAAAGTCAATCCCTCTGCAGCACAATAGGCCAGGCAGTTCCCAAGCCAACAATAAACCCCAGCTCCAGCCTTAGCTGGGGGCGGTACTCTTAACTTGAACACAAGTTTAGGCCCCTTGTACAGCCATGGTCTAGGATCTGTAGGGATCGATTTCAAGGCTAACACAGATACTTGCTGGTATGTCAGCATAATTGTTAGACATAGATCACTGGCTCGAAAGCAAAGGGCAACTAACTTTAGAACCAGGTGGGCTGCACTGTACAGTTGCCCTTAAATGCTTATAATCATTGACCAGAAACATATGCAGATCAGGAAAGAGGAAGTACAATCAGAATTAGTTATACTTGTTGACAAATTTTTGAAGCAAGAGACTCTGTATGACAGCCTGCCCCTTTTTTAGAAGGGGGAGTCAGCAAAGGCAGCCATTAGGTTTCTCTCATGATAGGTTTCCTTGAACACTGAGGTCTCAGGTTTTACAAGTACACTCCAGTCAAATTGCAAATAATATATATAGATATCTTGATGGTGTAAAATGTTTCCTTCTTTTATAACCTGTTAGACAGGCTGTGCATTATAAACTTCAGCTAACGGTAACAGCAATTGCAGTCATGATAACACTGTAGCTAAGGTAAAGTACTAAACAAGCTGAGTTTTATTATTTTTCTGCTTAAGAATTCATATACACAATTTAAAAAATGTGTAAAACATTATAAACCCGTTTTATGGACTATATGTATGTGAGAGATCAGTAACTTTATGCATGCAAAAAACTTTGTTCATATGCTTTTGTGTATATATGTTAAATCAAATTCAATAAAGCTTTATCATATCAGACCAGAGTGTAGGTTAAAATTTGGAAAGTAAAAAGAATGATGCAACAACATGGCCAATATAATGTGATATCTTCATTAGATGTCAAATATCTTGTGTCTGATAAAAGACCTATCTACTTACCTATAAAGTAAACAAAGACTAATGCTTAATCTACTGGTAGTCTTCATAGTCTACTCCTTACACTGATCAATATTAGAACATTAGCAATTAGCATCTAGGGATATGTAATGTTATTTAATGACATAGTGGAACACAGTTTACCAACCTACAGAGCTCCCGTAAGCACTGAGGAAACTAAATATCTTGATCAGTTGGAGTACCTGGGCACAGATGATCATTGTGGTAGAATGTAGATCTTCTGGAGGACAAGAAGGGTAGGAAAGTGACCATCTACATAGGTTTCCGTAACAACTTGAGATGAAGGTAAAAGATGGTGATTTCTGGACTTTAGAGCCAAGTACTGTGGGGGAGGAACAAATCACTGAACTACCAGTATATTCAAACCCCCACATAATGTAAAGTATAACAAGTGAATTACGGTAGCTTATAGATAAATATGACCCATTTCAGCTATGGGCCTACCGATCTGGCATTTGCTATTCCTCAAAATAACAAAAAAAATTTTTGTGCAATTGTCTTATAATAGGATTTTTGTACTCGCCATAAAATCCTTTTCTCTGCCTTCATTGAAGGACACAGTGAAGTAGATTGTAAATCTGAAACTACAGGGTATCGCGCCACCTGCAGGAGAAGGATGCTAGGCACAAAACATAAGACAAGACAGCCTGGGGGAGGCCTCTGCTGGTGGCCAATTTACCCCCCGGTTAAGTCTCCAGTAAGTAGCAAGCAGTAAGGAGAAACTCACACATATAGAGAGGGCGGGTACTGCGTTCTTGAATGAATGCAGAGAAAAGGATTTTAAGGTGGAGTACAAAAATCCTATTTCGTTTTTCGTTCATTGAAAGACACAGTGAAGTAGATCGTAGATCTAAAACCACAGTGACGTCCCAAAGCAGTGCAACAAGGAGGGGTAGGCAAGAAAACTCTCTCCACACAGAACAACCCTTCTAAAAGGGTTGCCTGCCAAACCCTGCACCCAAAACTTGCATTCACAGATGCCAAAATATCAACTTTGTAGAACTTGGAAAGATAAATCAACAGAAGACCAAGTGGCCTCCTTACAAACCTGAGCAACGGAGGCACTAATACAAAAGGCCCACGACACCCCAAGTAGAATGAGCTGTAATAGGAAATGGGGGTTCCCCAAACCAGCATCGAGCACCGGGTTGCAGACATACTGCAGACCTTGCACCAGTAGGTCTGCCAACTTGACATAGGTGGGAGAACCCTGTTCATCAGCAAGACCCTGGTGCAACAGTTGGTTTCACTCGAGTAAAGATTGAGATACCAGAACCAAAACAGAATAAAGGTCCAGCGCTGACACACACAGTTAATTAATTAGCTTCTGTCTTCCCATCCGTGGGAACACAGAAAGATAGGGAATTCTCCACAGGAATGATTGTAGCTTTCATAAGGTGCGAGAATGGTGGATCCCCCAGCGGTGTCATAGACCACTTCTACAGGAAAGATTCCTCAAAGGAATAGTGAACGGAAAAACGTTTAGGCACGGAGAAGGACTAGGTAAGCCATTGTGTCCTTCAATGAACAGAAGAGAAAATTGTAATTTTATGTTTTAGAGACAAAAAAAAAAAATTATAGAAAGAAAAAAAAAAAAAAAACTCAGTTTGACCAGCAATAGTTTTCAAAACAAGTTACTGTAGGTACAAAGTACCACTTTTATTCTGAAATTTGGCAATAAAAATGTATGGCTTGTGGAAAGCATATTCCAGTTATTCACAAATTTACACTTATTTATAACCAGCCGACGGTGATCTTTAATAGGTACAAATGTAACTTTTCTTACTTTGCAAGGCCCCTTTCACACGGGCTGAAAATTCCCCAGCAGGACTGCAGACAATAAAATCCTGACAGACGTTCCTCAATATTTACCACCAGAAAAAAAAGGTCTAGTTTCCACTTCAAGGCCTCATTCAAACAAGGTGTTCCTGGAGGCAGATTGCTGCAACCAGAATATCTGCATTCTTGCAGCAGAAATCACAGGTGGCTATGAACAGACAACTTAGCCTGTTCAAAGCCATCACAGGCTGGCTGCAGATGCAGCTGTCCACCTGTGTTCTAATGTAATCGCAAGTTTGCGTCAAGGGGTGAACACCTACCTCTAGCCGACCGCTGGTAATCACTCCATGCATGATTACCTCCAAATGTGGGTGGACAGCTGGCTGGATCCACCTGTGATTACTGCCATAGAAAATCGGCAAAATGTGAACTTACAGCAAACATTGATCGTTCTAAAATGGTGTGTGATAAATAATAATAATTAATTCAAACTACTTACTGTTTGGGTCCTTAAAGCAGGTGTTCCTCTACTGGAATTGTAGTCTAAGGTGAGACATGTCCAGATCCACAGAGGGAGTTTGCTTTTGAACAAAATACACGCCAAATGGATACAAAGCCAGCGAGAGTCAGTTTAAACTGTAGGACCATGGTAAAAACCAAGACTCCGGGCTGCAGACATCAGCACCATTAGTGGGTATGCTGTGAGCAATCCCTGACCAGTTAGTTGAAAGTGAGCTAGTGACAGTCGATACAATGGGATTGTACCTCCAGTGTCTAGAAATCAGATGTTGTGGCCAGAGTGCAGTTAGGCAAAATACAGGCTATGGGTACGAGGCAAGGCCTCCAGTGCTCACCAAACCCAACAGCTGATAGCAGGTGATGCTCAGTGACCCAGATGGCCAGAGTTGCCCAACGTCACTGTAGTCAGCCAGCAGGAATGGAGTGAAGCTCCACATGGCTGAAAACAGGAAATAATGGCCCTCATGGACTCAATGAGGAAGCTCCTGGGGCCAGTCTGCTTAGCGAGTCTTCAAAAACAGGGTTAGTGCAGAGGTAATGCCAGCAGCTCTGGACCCTAAAAGCATTCCAAGTTAACAGCTAGAATGAATGTGCTCCACATGGAAGCCAGAACCAAAAGGTCACTTCCAGGCTTACCCCGCAATGACCAGTCCAGCAGTGTCCTGATGCAGTACGGTCCAAAAGCTAGCATGAGGACAACCACAACAGATAGCTGTTGTGCAGAGTGCCAAGAAAAGTGTTTATTGAAGAAACCGATTTGCTGGAATAAAATCACAGTCTTTAAAAAGAGCAGTGCTGAAGACATCCATCCTCCATGGATACTAGCAAAAAGCATACATTCTGGTAGTAAGAAAGGGGTTATCCCCAAGGCTGGCCTACATTTTTTTTTTTTGCGTGCCCTTTTGTAGGTGGCAGTATAACCCAAAGGCTTAGGATTTCCTTTAGTTCTCAATGGATATGAAAGAAATATTAATTGTGCCTAAGCAGTACCCTGAAAGATTTACCTTTTGTTATGTATTCCACCTGAAAAATAGTGTACTTCCTGGACCCACAGCCTCATGTATATCTGCAGTGTGAGATCATATAAGGCACTGCAGC